GGGGGGGGTGCGGGGCCCTTCCTCCGCAGGGAGTGGGGGGATGCGGGGCCCTGCCTCCGCAGGGAGTGCGCGCGGGGGAGGGGGGTGCGGGGCCCTGCCTCCGCTGGGGTGCTGGTCAGCGAGGACACACTCGTGTGCAGGAATCATCCGCAGCGGCTCGCTTGCAGTTGGCGGGAAGGTGCGTGACGGATTCAGCCTCCAGCCGCAAGGCTCTGATCAGATCTGGTCGGCGCTGGTCAGCTCAGATCAGCTCTGGTTGGCTCTGGTCAGCGCTGTAAAGCCCGTCCATCGGCACAAGGCCGTTCCTCCACTTGATGTTCATGCTGTCTGTGGAGCCCCAGTCACTGCCGCTCCAGGTCTGGCTGCTTAAGGCATCTCTCGTGTGTGTGTGTGTGCGCGCGCATGTGGATCTTGAACTCTGGGCCTGGGCGCGGTCCCTCAGCTCTTCAGCTCAAGGCGAGTGCTCTACCACTTGAGCCACAGCGCCACTTCGAGTTTTCTGGTGGTTTATTGGAGATAAGAGTCTCGTGGTCTTTCCTGTCCAGGCTGGCTTTGAACCCTAATCCTCAGATCTCAGCCTCCTGAGTAGCTAGGATGACAGGCAGTGAGCCAATTATCTTTTTAGAAGCATCTCTGAAGTTTGTTATTATTTCAATAGCTTCCACTTTTATTATTTCTCATCTACTGTTGAGGATTTCCTTGGAGCTTTTTCTAACCTCTAGAGATGGGAAATTAGATAACTTTGCAACTTTATTCTTTTTTAAAGTGTAAACATTTAAAACTATAATGTGCATCCTGCCACGCCTAACCTGTGTTTTTTCTTTCTCCTTGTGATTTCTTGGACCCATATGGGAGTTTTGTTTATTTTTGAGGCACATGGTTCAATTTTTAAATACATAAGTTATTTTCCTGGGGCTGGGAAGTTGGCTCAGTGGTAGAGTGCTTGCCTTGCATGCCTGAGGCCCTGGGTTCGATTCCTCAGCACCACATAAGCAAAAGGACAAAAGCTGGAAGTGGTGCTGTGGCTCAAGTGGTGGAGCACTAGCCTTGAGCTGAAGAGCTGAGGGACAGAGTTCAGGCCCCATGACTGGACCCCCCCCCAAAAAAGTTATTTTCCTGATAATTGTCAGTTACTGATTTTTATTTAATTTGGCTGTAGTCAGAGAACAAAATCTGAATAACTTTAGTCTTTAAAACTTACTGAGTTAGGTCCTAGAGGCTCATGACACTTCAGGAGGCTGAGAAGGATCAGGGTTCAAAACTAGCTTGAGTAGAAAAGTCTGTGAGATTATCTCCACTTAACCAACAGAAAGTCAGAAATGAGGGTGTGGCTCAAGGGGTAGCGTGGCAGCCTGGATTGAAAAAGCCCAGTGAGAGTGTGAGATACTGAGTACAAGTCCCTGGACCAAAAAACTCAATGAGGCTTTCTTCCTCACAAATAGTCTGCTTATCTGAGTGTTCCCAATGTTCCAAATTGTGAGTGTCCTTCTGTGTTGGTTAGGGTCAGTTTACTTCCAGATCAGGATTCTTAGTTGACTAGATCTAATCTGTGGGTTTAATTCCAGTCTTCTTCCTACAAGATATGAAGAAGTACCACCAAGCCTTTATCTTGCTCCTGGTTGGCAGTACACATAGGAAGAAGAAGGATCCCATGGACTTTTTTTTGGTTGATAGAAAATCGACCTCAGAGAAGAGGACCTGCCATGTGGGGGCTGGGTACTCTCATCCAGCTTCCCACAGGAGTGGCCTGTGGGAAGGGTCACTAACTGAGGGCAATCAACCTTGAGCTCTAGCCAAGTTACACCTTGATCGAGTTCTTCCACATTTCTACTCAGATACTGACTGCTCACCACAGCCTAGAGAAAGCCAATGTGTTGCCACATGACGTACTGATCTAATCAGTGTGCTCCTGTCCACGCAGCAATCTGAATTAACCCAGAAAGATCCTTGCTGTTTAGTATAAATTGAATTTGCTGCATAAATGTTAAGGTGTGAGGAGAACTCATCAGGCAGAAGGTGGAAAGGCATTTCAGGAAGATGACAAGAAAAAGCAGGCCTTGCTCTAGGACCAGTATAT